ATATTTTTTGTCTGTTTTGCCACTATTGGATTGCCAGTACCAAACATAAATATGTGGTAAGCTGCTGACTCTGAACCCACCAGCCAATCCATGGGAGGAAGAGGGGGCTGTCTATGCCTGTAAAGAGTTACAGCCTCGAAAACTCACAGCGCAGCTCTGCCCGTCGTCCAGGGCCGTGATGAGTTGGGACAGACTTGATGGCAGTGGGAGCGTCTCACAGAATCCCAGCTGCCGTTGAGTCAAGGGCGCTGCCCAGCATGGCAGCCCCCCGGATGTCAAAGTAGGACTGCGTTTCGTAGACTTGTCACTGGTTGCTTTTTTAACATTTCTTACAACTAGACCGCTAGGCCTTCCTTTTGAGGTGCTTCTAAGTGGAGTTGAACTTCCATCCCAACCTTTGACTTATATGCAATCCTATTAACTATTTGTGCCACCTGGGGACCCCAATAGAGCATTATTGTGTACATGAACAAATTAATAGATCAATTTCAAGTAATGTTGCAAAATAAATGGACACCTGCTGAGACTTTAGGGAGAGAGAAATAATAATCACCTGGTGCCTGCATGCAGTCGCGAATAAAAAAGCATTCTGATCAAATGAATGTTCTTTCCTCACAGGTATGCAGTGCCCACTGTCTGCTTAGACTTTGGGATACACTTGATAAAACTTTCATAATAAATGTGTGGTTAGGATGCAGAAAGGTGGTTGATTGCGTAATTAAGTGGTTATATGGTACCCTAATCGCAGTCTCTTCATGAGTTGGTATCTGACAACTGACTGGAAGCTTAGGCCTCTAGGTCTGTTTATTGTTTTCATTATTAATTTGGGGTGGTGACATTAATGGCCTGAGTAGCTAATCCAGAGATAGCAAAAAATAGGAGGGACATCTTAATACGACCATTAAAAAAATCAGTGTGTGAAAACAGTATTTCCCAGATATTAGGGGAGAGCAAATAAGTAAACAGAACTTAAAAAGAGAAAATATAAAAACATAAACACTGATGAGTTAAAAGCAAAACACATCACTGCCATCCAGTTGATTTTGACTCCTTATGGGTCCCCGATGAGTTTTCCTAGCTATAAATCTCTCTGGGAGCAGAAAGCCTCAACTTTCTTTTGTAGAGCAGTTGGTGGGTTTGAACTGCCAACCTTGAAGTTAGCTATCCAACATGTAACTCATTATTCCACCAGGACTCCTTACCAAGGAGATCAATACTCCTCAACATTGGTCGAGGCACAATAAGGGCACAAATGCAACCTAGTTTAGCAGCAGCCAAGGATTTAGATGGCTGTAAAGCAAGGTGATCTCGTGGCACCATGGTTTAAACATTGGGCTACTAATAATGGTGTTGGGGGTTAAACCCACAAGTCACTCTACGGAAGAGAGATGAAGCTTTTTGCTCCCAGCACGATTGAAAGCCTCGAAATGTACAGGGGCAGTTCTATTCTTTCCTATTGGGTCTCTATGGGCAGAAATCGACTCAATGCCAGTGAGTTCGTTCTGTCAAAGGTCGTATGGATCTATAGTGTGTGGTGTGAGTCCCAGCAAATTTCATCTTGGACTTCCTAAATAGAATTCGGTCTAGAATAGGGAAGGCACCATTGGTTCTATATTGGCATTGATTCTCCCATGACAAGAAGTTTCATTGAGAAAATCACTCTGAGAAGGTGGAAGAAGACCAACCTTGGGATCATGTGAGAAAAGTCATCAACGTTTCACCATGTAAACATGGGAAGCCATAGTTTCAAATTGGTGTCCCCGGA